AGCAGCAACAGCAGCAGCAGCAGCTACAACAGCAGCAGCAGCTACAACAGCAGCAGCAGCAGCAACAACAACAACATCATAAGCAGCAACAACTTAGTTTGCATTGACCTTGGGCTGTTCAGAGGGAAGCAACACGAGCCAACAGCTGCTTACAATACATATTGCTGTTGCTGTTGTGTTGCGTGCTGCTGCTGCTGCTTTTAACTGCTTCATTATAATTTGGCTTGGAATATTGTTGATCTGGCTCTTGCATGTCGCACTCGCATGTTGCTGTTGCATGTTGCTGCTGTGTTAGCTCAAGCTGCTACTGCTGTTGACATTAGCAAAAGTATTTTCTACTACTTCAATTGAGCATTCCATTTACCACTTTTTTTTCGCTTTACTTTAGCTCGCTTTCGTTAGCAACAGTTGCAGCTGGCACAGCAACAGCAACAGCAGCAATTGCTTTATATAACTACGCTGACCCTTTGCAACTGTCATATAAATAAAGCCAAGCGCAATTTTCAGCAATTTCAATTGCACAGCGTTGGCTTGTTGTCTTTTTTTGTTTTTTGGCAAGGTCTCTTTGCCAGCGCGCTGTGCGGCCGTAATTTATGGCTGCTTCCAATATAAATTTTCCGCCAAATTATTTGCGCGCTCAAAATGAAATCAAATGAGAAAAAAATAAAAATAAAAGCAATATAAATTCTGTCTCAACTAATTGGCAAAGCCTGTGGCTGCTTCCACTTCTGGTTGCCAGGCAGTGCTTGCCATCGATGACTTTATTAGACAAGCACTCCAACTACAGCGGAAGACACGCCAGCAACAGCAACAGCAGCAACAGCAGCAGCAACAGCAGCAACAGCGCCCTCAGATGTGCTCAAGTAAATTCCTGGAACGCCGCAAAATCTTTTGCGGCTGCTTCATCACTTTATAAATCATTATACAAACATATCATTACAAACACACACACATTCACATATATGTATATGTATGCATGTGTATGTATGTATGCAAAGCACGCGTTGACA